GATGTCTCATCGCAACATTTCGAAGGTCAATTCTTCACTTCAAAAAGGCATCACTGACACTAAGTAGTTGATAGTCTGACCTCGTCTTTATTTTCTTTTGCGTTTTTAACTTTTCTAATGCTGACTGTTTCGTACATAGTCGCTTCGCTCTGTCAGATGAATGAAAATGTACCAAATTTCCTAAATAACACCGGATTTGCGTCTCATGCCATGGATTGAAATAAAATGGTCAAAGAACAGCATTTATTGCATTGGCAGGCATATACTTCAGTAACTGTGCTTAATCCTCACACTGTGGATTTAATAATGGCTTCTTGGGTACCTCGTTTTAAAAATTTATTCGAATGTTTCATCAACAATGATTAAATGAAGCATGACTCCTTCAATATCAGATTTCGCGGAGTGTTGCACTGTCCCCTTTTCCCCTGTTGCAGAGGGAAATATTTAAACATACCACAGCACACACCTCGCACGTGCGAGATGTACATTCGCCATTTTATCCACTAGAAGCATCTATTATTTGACATACTCAGGCGCAAGAACATCTTATGATGTTAATACGGTAACGATGATCAAATTAAATAACATAGCCGATAATGATTTTAATTGAAAAACCAGCAAATATGAAACATACTGTCGGACCGGAGTCACTCAGCACAAGAACGTGAAAACTATGCATATGGTGGGTGCAGTTAATGGAGGTGAACACTCAAAGTAAGCCGATGCGTCGGCGTGATTTGTAGGGAAATTAGTTGCTTCACTGACGTAGCCACATAGTCGTTTGTCACAGCAAACACCGACCGCTCATTAGCCTGTTGTTCTGCGGTAAGTAGCAAACCTTGAAGATCGCCGGTGCGTCTGTGTGAACAATCTGTCTGGCCGAGACAACTGATTATTGCCTTACAAGCCGCCCATTGTTCGACACGACCAACAAGCCCGGGACCGGTAATTCAATCGGCATCGTTTACACCTCTGACCTGACGGATTAGGCCAGACCAGATTGTTCGATGACCACGGGCTAACGACGGCGGTCCATTTTCGCACCAGGAGACAATGGCTTCACGCAGTCGGACAGTTCATTG